TGCGTAGAGACTGTACACTGGTACAGTACATGAAGTATACTGGATTGATGACGGATATCCTGATTAAATGTTTAGCATGATGTTGCCTGAAGGTATATATTGAAAACAAGGCAATCTCGTGAGTCTTTCATAAACCAGGATACCTCAAATATGCACATATCAATCAATTAATCATTCTAGGATGTATTTTATCAGATGATTGATTAGTTACTCTTTTCGTTCTGACATTTTCAAGTCCTTCAAAAAGAATCCATACTTTTTAAAAACAGTATCCATGCCGTTTTAAATTGTCCAGTTTTTTTCACACAGTATATTTATAACTCTATGATAGTAATCATACTATCAAGCCGTAAAAGTAGATCATCAGGTATATTTGATCATTTTTATACTGCTAAAACAGTATTCATACAGTGCAAACAATAGCCATTACTGTTCAAACGGTTTCCCTACCGTTAAAACAGTACTCAGACTATTCCAAAAGTATCCAGACTGTTCAAGCGGTATCCATACTGTTTAAAGTTTATCCTGTTCAAACATTATTAATTATATATTTTAAAAACATTATCCTGTTTACAGTATTAATTATGTATGTTAAAAACATTATCCAGTTAAAACTGTATTAATTATGTATGTTAAAAACATTATCCTGTTCAAACAGTATTAATTATGTATGTTAAAAGTATTATCCTGTTCAAACAGTATTAATTATATATGTTAAAAACTTTATCCTGTTCAAACAGTATTAATTATGTATGTTAAAAACATTATCCTGTTCAAACAGTATTAATTATGTATGTTAAAAACATTATCCTGTTCAAACAGTATTAATTATGTATGTTAAAAGTATTATCCTGTTCAAACAGTATTAATTATATATGTTAAAAACTTTATCCTGTTCAAACAGTATTAATTATGTATGTTAAAAACATTATCCTGTTCAAACAGTATTAATTATATATGTTAAAAACATTATCCTGTTCAAACAGTATTAATTATGTATGTTAAAAACATTATCCTGTTCAAACAGTATTAATTGTATATGTAAAAACATTATCCTGTTCAAACAGTATTAATTATATATGTAAAAACATTATCCAGTTCGAACAGTATTAATTATGTATGTTAAAAACATTATCCAGTTCGAACAGTATTAATTATGTATATGTAAAAACATTATCCAGTTCTAACAGTATTAATTATGTATGTTAAAAACATTATCCAGTTCGAACAGTATTAATTATGTATGTTAAAAACATTATCCTGTTCAAACAGTATTAATTATGTATGTTAAAAACATTATCCTGTTCAAACTGTATTAATTATGTATGTTAAAAACATTATTCTGTTCAAACAGTATTAATTATATGTGTTAAAAACATTATCCAGTTCAAACATTATCAATGCCGTTTTCCCTTCCGATAAAAATTAACTTGTTAATTTTGATTTACAACAGCTTGATATCACAGTTTGCGTTGAAATTTCTAATTTTCATTTCTTCCTTGAATCATTCTTGTTAATTTAATTGACCACAGGAACATTAACGTCTAGAAGCAGATGTATCTGTGTAATGTAATACATATTTAAAGGAACTGTCTAGAAGCAGTGTATCTGTGTAATGTAGTACATATTTAAAGGAACTGTCTAGAAGCAGTGTATCTGTGTAATGTAGTACATATTTAAAGGAACTGTCTAGAAGCAGTGTATCTGTGTAATGTAGTACATATTTAAAGGAACTGTCTAGAAGCAGTGTATCTGTGTAATGTAGTACATATTTAAAGGAACTGTCTAGAAGCAGTGTATCTGTGTAATGTAGTACATATTTAAAGGAACTGTCTAGAAGCAGATATATTTGTGTAATGTTATACATACTTAAAGGAACTGTCTAGAAGCAGATGTATCTGTGTAATGTAATACATATTTAAAGGAACTGTCTAGAAGCAGATGTATCTGTGTAATGTAATACATATTTAAAGGGACTGTCTAGAAGCAGATGTATCTGTGTAATGTAATACATATTTAAAGGGGCTGTCTAGAAGCAGATGTATCTGTGTGATGTAATACATATTTAAAGGGACTGTCTAGAAGCAGATGTATCTGTGTGATGTAATACATATTTAAAGGGACTGTCTAGCTTTGAAGGATGATGAATTGTTAATCGCGCGTACAATCCACTCTATGAATGAAGGGTCTCAATTAGATTTAGGTCTACTGCCTTTTTAGGCTTTAACTAAACCAGAAGTGAAAATATTTTACAATAAATTCATCCTGTCAAAATATTTTTAACCTGATCAAGAGAATTCAACTTAATTCAAAGCAAAATAAATCACTGTGAAAATCTCGTATCTGATATCTTGCATTCCAAGTGACCCCCTCTCCCCACCCCATCGACCAACTAAGGAATTGAGTCTTTGTCACTTAAACTCAGATTTTCTAATCCCAAGATCTTTGCAACACAATGTCGTATTATGAGTTCTGTTAGATCAAATAATTTAGGTTCGAAATATTAAAGGTTTACACGATCAGGTTGGAATTAGAAAATTTGAGTTTGTTTCTTTGGTAATTTCTTCCTTTTCACCATTGAAATATAAAAATAAGGTTTTTCTAAAATATTTTCCTATGTTCTAATAAAATTTCTTTACGCATATCATTGGCGAGCTTGATGTCCTAACATAATCTAACCCAAAGGAGCAGTAGCGTGCAAAATGAGATGGCGGAAGGGGGGGGGGTAATGTTGTATTTTAGGAATGAGTCTTCTCAAAATAGTTCATTACCCCGCCCCCCCTTTCCGCCATCTTTCTTTCGCTAACTACTCTAAAATATTAGTTTTTGAGCATTTTCCAGTGAAAAAATGTTGGACTAAAATTTGTTTAATAATTGGATCCTATTAAAAAATTGGTTTACTTTACTTACTGAATATATTACGGTTAATTTTAGATGTGAGGAGGGTTTTTCTCTTTTGAGACCCCCCCCCTGCACCCCAAACCTNCTGCAGACTATGTTTACCCCTCAATATCCTTCTCTGTGTTTCCCCCTCCCCTGCAGACTATGTTTACCCCTCAATATCCTTCTCTGTGTTTCCCCCTCCCCTGCAGACTATGTTTACCCCTCAATATCCTTCTCTGTGTTTCCCCCTCCCCTGCAGACTATGTTTACCCCTCAATATCCTTCTCTGTGTTTCCCCCTCCCCTGCAGACTATGTTTACCCCTCAATATCCTTCTCTGTGTTTCCCCCTCCCCTGCAGACTATGTTTACCCCTCAATATCCTTCTCTGTGTTTCCCCCTCCCCTGCAGACTATGTTTACCCCTCAATATCCTTCTCTGTGTTTCCCCCTCCCTGCAGACTATGTTTACCCCTCAATAACCTTCTCCCCTCTCAAATTAAACTTCCTTATCCTACTCTCTACTTCAATCTACCCTTCCCCCACCCTCAAGCACTTTATTACAATCTTATCTGAATCCATCCTGCAGCTCTCCACTGTTCTCTGTCCAACTAAAGTTTTACTCGTAGAACTGTAGAACAGTTTCAAGAACTCTCCTCCTCTCGGTGTGTTGGTTGATTTAACTTGTGTGAAAAACATGGTTTTGTTGTTTAGTCACGAGATGTCAACAAACATCAATTTTTTGTCTATGCAGGAGGAGGATATTCATGTTTACTTTCTATAATCATCAAAAACAACGAGAAACGGAAAAATCTTCCAATAGAAGTAGAAGTAGTAGTGGAAGTTTGAAAATTTATTGCAGTTAATTTTTCAACTTTAAACCGAAAGCCTTTTATTGTTATCAATCCAACGTTTTAAAACCGTTTCATGAAACTTGATTATTCATATGATTAGTACAGTGGTTTTTCTCTAAAATTTTTCATTTAATTGATTTCCAAACTTAATTAAGTTTTAAGAAACGTGGATTTCTTATTATGCCCCTTTCGGGGAATCTTCATCTTGTAGTGTGGGGGGGGGGGTTTAGATAATAAAAAATATTTGAACCAGTTAAAATTCTAATAAATCTCTGTGTAAGTTAACAAAAGTAAGAAATATTAAACTTTTCAGCAAATTAGTTAAATATTTCTCACTCGCTGACCACGATAGATAACAAAGCAGTATTATTGGGATAAACAATAAAAAACATCAAGCTCATTAAATCTTTCCAAAAGAAAATAATCATTAAAAAGAAAAAAATAGGTTTAAAATTTGGCCCAAATTACCCTGAACAGATTTCGTGTCCCTAGTTTATCAGATCTAATAATATCTTGAAAGGACTGATTCTCATCTCTTGGTCTGCATTATGGTGCGGGGTATGTTTGCAGACATTGCTTTCTGCAGTAAACAGGGTCTATATACTGATTCTCATCTCTTGGTCTGCATTATGGTACGGGGTATGTTTGCAGACATTGCTTTCTGCAGTAAACAGGGTCTATATACAAAAAAGCAAGTCATTGAAACACTCAAATATTTTTAGTATCCAGAAAATGAATGAAAATGTGATTCACAATATGAATAAGATTTCCTCTAACTTGATGTAAAGTTTAAAGGATTTGTTGGAAATCATTGTTTAAATTCCTGATATTTTCTGGGAGAACCCTCGCTCATAGAACCATGCAGTACTAAACCATTCCTTCTGATCTGTAGATTAGATTGTGTTTTTATTCCAGTTGATCATATTATTCCAGGGAAGCCAGGAATTCTTTAACTAAAGGAGGGAGTTCTGGGAATTAAAAGACTTGCCGTGTGTAATACCTAAAGGTAAGGAACAGGTTTAGAATTATATGATTGAAACTCTAATATTTGGTTAGACCATGTTGGAATTACACGCGTTTAGGATTATCTTTCTCCCCCCCCCCCCTCTTCATTATAGAAAGGTCATTTGGAAGTTAATCCGTAGTGGCATCCCTTCGTACCCCCCCCCTCATATGTTTATCATAGACCTTTTATTAGAGTGAGGGGAGGGGGGACTGGCACGACTCGTCGCGGAAATTTGAAGAAATTGTGAAGACGGTCGCCGCCCGCTCCAACCTATGGTTTCAAACTTTACTTCAGTTCAGTTTAGTTAGTCAGTAGTTGACAGGACACGGAGAGGATAAGACGTGGATAGGATCAATCAAATCTCAACCATGCTGAAACATTGCTCTCAGAGCTGTGTTGATGTTTCGAGACGATCTCTCCGACACAATTCCTTCACCTTGGATTCCAGATTGGGTGGGTCCGCGGAGATGTTGGATGAGATGAGCAGTTTGGATGAAGAACGTGAATATCGAAGTTATTGTGCTTCTAATACAAACAGTTTCTCTGGTCTTGTGACTCTTCCAAGAAATAGAACCAAACCTGTCTCCGAGAGCTGTATGAGTTTACCAAACTTCTCCAGTGTTTCAGCCATCAAAGTTTATGCTCAATGTTTGAGACCTCATCTTGCATATAAAACAGTGATAATAACTCGTCATACGACCTCAAGGCAGGTTGTTCTCGGCCTCCTCAGCAGGTTCAGGATGAAACACAGAGATCCTCGACTCTTTTATCTCACTATGGAGGTTAATATAGGAGAAGAGAAGAGTAGAACTATATCCCTGGAGGATAGCTCTTGTATAGCCGACCTCATAACCTGTAACCCGTGGGGTACCTCGAGGTTCAGATTGAAGGCCAGACAAGGAGGTCTGGTCAAAATATACGATGGAGAAGTGAGAGCGGACTCTGTATACAAATCTATAATCGTGTCTCAGGTTACAACTGTGAAGGATACCATCAATATCCTAGAGAACTGCTACGCATCAAAACCTGGGACGGAGCTAAAGTTACACGAGTTCGACCCTCAGAACGGAGCAACAAGACTTCTCTCAGGGTCGGAGAAGCCCCTGGAAGTCCAAGATGAATGGGGTAAAGATACCAGCAAAGTTTTTCAATTAAAACGCACCGAGGAAGTTAAATATCCCTGTGATCCTGTGATACAACCAATGTTTTCCCGAAGTTTAGTCAGAAATAGTATTCTCCGTCAGTCTATTAGAAAGAAACAATTTTTTAAATCCATGATATCTGATAGATTAGATCTAGACCTGGACGGGAAAAATCTCTTCTCCTTGAGCAGGTTCAGCTTGTCAGATCAGATAATAAGTGAGAGCGTAGAGGACTCCGAGGAGGGTGGAAGTAGTGACCTGGAGAACCAAAGTGAAGGAGATTTAAACTGTTCAACCTCCGGAGTATCATCTCTATCTTGCTCCTCTCTAGATAGTCTAGAGCAGCGGAATATAAACAGCTTCTTTACGTGAAGCTTTAAACTGGATCAAAATTGTCATAAATAAAGTATATAAACATTTATTCTATCCTAGATAAAATAAAAGTTTTCATTTGTAATCTTAATTGTTCATCATAATTAGTGGATGTGAATTACAAACAGTCTACTATAGATAAATATAAGATGCTTCTAGAATATTCTCAGTTTGCATAATTAGTCTTGACACTTTAGAATTCTAATGATCTGAACCTTCTTTATCTAATTAGGTTGGAGGGTTAAAGGCAATTAAGCGAGAATAGCTTAGTTGGTTTGTAAGGTTAGTTAGTTTAGTTAGAATAGATGAGATAGCTTTGCAAGGTTAGCTAATTCAGTAAGAATAGATTTTTTGGGGCTTTTTATTGTTAAATGTTAGCAAGTTTAGTTTGAATATTGAGGCTGGCTATTTATTTGCTAGTTTAGTAGGAATAGAGTTTTGGTTGGTAAGAAGGAATTTGTAAAGTCAGAAGTTTGGTTTGGATGACAAGATTGTTAAGTTATGTATGGTTAGTGAGTTTTGTTAGAATTAATATGTTTTCTTTTGTTTTTTAGAAGAGAAGTTGCCTAGTTTAGTTAGAATAGCTCCGTTGTCTTTTTTGCTAGCTAGGTTAGTTACAAGAGATAAGTTGCCTAGTTCAGTTAGAATAGCTCCGTTGTCTTTTTTGTTAGCGAGGTTAGTTACAAGAGATAAGTTGCCTAGTTTAGTTAGAAAAGGTCCGTTTCTTTTTTGTTAGCTAGGTTAGTTACAAGAGATAAGTTGCCTAGTTCAGTTAGAATAGCTCCGTTGTTTTTTTTGTTCGCTAGGTTAGTTACAAGAGATAAGTTGCCTAGTTTAGTTAGAATAGCTCCGTTGTCTTTTTTGTTAGCTAGGTTAGTTACAAGAGATAAGTTGCCTAGTTTAGTTAGTAAAGGTCCGTTTCTTTTTTGTTAGCTAGGTTAGTTACAAGACATAAGTTGCCTAGTTTAGTTAGAATAGCTCCGTTGTTTTTTTTGTTCGCTAGGTTAGTTACAAGAGATAAGTTGCCTATTTTAGTTAGAGTAGCTCCGTTTCTTTTTTGTTAGCTAGGTTAGTTACAAGAGATAAGTTGCCTAGTTTAGTTGTTTTATTTGCTAGTTTATTAAGAACAGATATTTGGTTACTAAGAGATTTTTGTGTTGTTGGTTGGTTTAGTTAAAAGAAATAGATTAGTTGGGTTTTACTTCTACATTTACTTATTTTAACATTGGTGGATCGTTTGAAAGAAATATATTATTATAATTTTTATAAATATTCTAACCTAATAAGAATAATTCAAGTCAGAATATCTCGAACACGAACTTTTTAGGGTAATAAAATGTCCTTTTTATTCTTTATATTTGTTACATTTCTTAAAGATAAAAATATTAACATTTTAAACATTTAGTTAACGATGATAAAGGTTTTAATCTTAAGCGAACTATTTTCAAATTCGCGTTTAGTATTTAAAAAATTACTTTCTTGATTTTTAGCAAGCGAGCATTTTTTTACCAACCAAATGTTTTTGTTCTTGGACATACGTTTTAGATTGCAATTTGGAAAGTCTGAAAATACTTGTTTATCCGAATTTATGTTCTCTATACAACAATACTTTTAACAAGTCATTGGTTAGTTCCATATCTGCTCAGTTTATATCTATTATCTAGTATCTTGATTAGTTCCATATCTGCTCAGTTTATATCAATTATCAAGTATCTTGATTAGTTCAATATCTGCTCAGTTTATATCAATTATCAAGTATCATGATTAGTTCCATATCTGCTCAGTTTATATCAATTATCAAGTATCTTGATTAGTTCCATATCTTCTCAGTTTATATCAATTATCTAGTATCTTGGTTAGTTCCATATCTGCTCAGTTTATATCTATTATCTAGTATCTTAATTAGTTCCATATCTACTCAGTTTATATCAATTATCTAGTATCATGATTAGTTCCATATCTGCTCAGTTTATATCAATTATCTAGTATCACTTGATTAGTTCCATATCTGCTCAGTTTATATCAATTATCAAGTATCTTGATTAGTTCCATATCTACTCAGTTTATATCAATTATCAAGCATCTTGGTTCTGACCGTTTCTATTTATTTAGAGAAAAAACTTATCAGTGAAGCTTCACAGCAAGATCTTGAAGAAAGTGCCTTTTTATATCTAACTATTTGAAAGAGGGCTGGAACCATAAAGAGGTTTATCTAAGATATGATCAGGGCTTAACCCGTGTTTACTGAGATCAAGTTTTTATCTCAAAAGTTCATTTCATGCTTCAACCATTTCTGTTCATCCCAGGACCTGGAAATGGGTTTTCAAAAAATATGATAATTACTAACTTCTCATAATTTATAATATTTTTGAGGATCTACTTTTTTTAAACAAGAAAATCACCAAAAATAATTCTTTATTTTTATAAACAAAAAATCCTTATTGGTACTTCACAAGATATCGAATAAAGATTAAATTAAACCGTAGATTAACAAAAGATCGAGATCAAGAACTGATCTCGATACAAGAGTTCTTATCTCAGTTTATTGCGAATAAAAGAAATCCTTAAAACTTTCTTATTCTATAAAATGTTAAAACATAAAAAACTAATTTCAAATTTGATTTTATAGTAGTTTCCTCTGTGGTAATATAAAGTAAAGACTATTGTAAGGTTAACTTTTACCATTGTTTCGTGTAAATTATCCCTCATAGCTTAGCCTTGTTTACAGTGCTGCATAGAAACATTATTTATACGTGTATCATGAATATATACAGCACATAGTATGCATGTACTCGGCACAAAGTTCACGTGCTAAAGCTTAAATGCTATTTAGTCCTAATATCTAACTAGATAGAAGGAAGGAACGCGACCGGGGGGGGGGGGGGAGGGGCTAAGAAGTTCTGAAAAAAATAGGGGCAGGTTTAGAGAAATGCAATATATTTACGGTTTTGAAGATTGAGTAGGTTTGAAGAAAGAGAGAAGGTTTTACGGAGCAGAGACGTTGGGAAGAATAGAAGGTTTTGAGAATAGGATTGAAGTGAGAAGGTCCGAAAAAATAAAGAAACTTTTTGCTAATTAGAAAGATTTGAAGAGACGGATAAGGGTTGGAAGGAAAGAGGAAAAGAGAAAATTCAACTGATGGAGAAGGTTTAAAGTTTAAAAGGTTCGGAGACATAGGGATGGTTTTGGTGGAGTCGATAAGGTTTCGAGAAGAGGGAAGGTTTGGAGTAGGTTTTGAAAAATAGAGAAGGTTTGGAGTAACAAAAAAGGGTTTAAGATAAAGAAAAGACTCGATAAATAAACATGTTTGTGGGGATTAGAGGAGGTTTGCAGGAAAAGGGAAGTTTAGGAGAAAAAGAGAAGGTTTGGAGAAATAGAGAAGCTTTTCAGGAAAAGAGAAGTTTAGGAAGAATAGAGAGGGTTTGCTTAAAAAGAGAAGGTTTGGAGAAATAGAGAATGTTTGGAGAAAAAGAGAAGGTTTGGAGAAATAGAGAAGGTTTTGATAAAAAGAGAAGGATTGGGGAATTAGAGAAGGTTTAAAGAATTAGAGAAGGTTTGGAGGCATAGAGATTGTTTGGGGAAGAAAGAAGGTTTGGAGTAGGTCTGTATGAAAAATAGTAAGGTTGGAGGAGTAATAGCAAAGGTTTGCAGAAGGAATAGAAACGTTTTGGAAATTATTAAAGGCTTAGAGAAATAGACAAGGTTTGGTGGATTAGAGACCGCTTGGAAAAGTAGTGAGGGTTTAGAGAAATAGAAAAGGTTAGAAGAAATAGAGAAGGTTTAGAGGAATAGAAAAGATCTGAGGAAGAGAAAAGGTTAGAAGTAGGTTTGAAGAAATAGAGAAGGTTTGGTTGGAATAGAGATGGTTTGATAGAGAGGTTTTAATAGAATAGAGAAGGTTTGAAGTAGGTGGTTTGGAGAAAAAGAGAAGGTTTTGAGTAATAAAGAAGGTTTTAAGGGAAAGGAGAAGGAGAAGGATTGGAGTTTTTTCAAAGATGGTACTTTCCTAATGGCTCTTTCCCAAGTGGCAACTTTCCAAGTCTGTATTAGCCGCAGCGCTCGGCCCCCTAGCCCATTCTAGCCGCAGCGCTGCGCCCTTATTGAATTCTGCCCGCCTCAGTAGGCCTAACCTAACCCTTTTGGAGGTTGCCGCTGGGAAATTGCACATTTGGGAAGCTTTGGAAAATACCCTTGGTAAGTTGCCGCTTGGGGAAAAGCCTTTAGGAAAAAACCTAACACCATTTCAAAGAACGTTTTAGAAAAAGATTAGCGGTGACTAAGGAAGGTCAGCAGAGAAGTAAAGTTACCATGCAGGGCGATTTGATAGAAAATTTAGGCGGTTGGAGGGGGTTTTAAGGAAAAGAAAAAACTACTTAAAACATGTTGGGTGCGAAGAGAGAAGGTTTGCAGAGAAGTAAAGATAGCAGGGAGATTAGGCAAGGGGATGATGGTATGATAAAGGTCCCCAGGTATGTACAAATAATGATGAAGGAAGGTCAAAGTAAAAACACAAAACATTGATTCATAGATATAGGAGTGGACAACTATTCTAACCTTGAGTTAGCAAAAGATAAACTATGTGTTGATGGAAGGGAGGATTAAGAATAACACAATACTTTTTTAGGAGTTGCAACTTAATGCTATTCATTCACTGGTTTTGCCTTACATGTTTTCTCTTATTTATTCTATATTTATTACTGAGGTATCTTTTTTATTTAAAAGTTCTCTGTTTAATCTTGGAGCCATGTATTGTTTTAGATCCATGGTTTATTTATCCATTTCAATTCCGAGTGCACATTGTTTTTATCTGAAAGCTTTGCATTTGTTTTATTTATATAATCTCAAATCCATTTTTTTATTCATAAATCTAAGAGCTTTGTTCTCATTTATTTATCTCAAATCCAAGAATTAAGTTCTTAATTTGAGAGTTTTGTGCTTTTTTATTCATCTTGAAGCTATTTATTCGTTTATAAACTATATCACTTTCTATTGGGACGTTTTTATGTTCTGATAACAATTAATTTAACTAACCTCCAATAATGACAAAACATACAAAAACTTTATAAAATATGACTGTTTAAATTA